CCCAGGGCTCCGGCCTCCCCCGGCGTGCCGGCTGGAGGGGGTCGCTGCCGGCGGTCTGACCCGGCAGCCCCGGAGACGAGCAGTTACCAACCACACGGAACGGGAAGCCTGCCCGCCGCCCCGTCGGCTGCAGACGGCTGCTTTGCCGTAGCTTTGGTAGCGTTTTCTGTGCAGCGTAATGCATATGCTACTACAGCGACAGTGGAATTGCTAAACGTGCATTTGCATGCAATTACCCATTTTAAAAGGCAGTAATAAAGTCAGAAGAATCTACTTCGACACAGCCTGCTCTCCAGGCCTTGTCCTCACAGGACCCAAGCGCAAACCTCCAGGATCCCTGCAGCAGTCAGTGCCACTACCGCCGAGAAGCTAAATCGTTCCCACATCTTCCCATTAACTCAGCTCTGGCCCATCAAATATTAAAGAGCCTCAAGCCTGACCACGGCTCGTTTTACGAAGGTCACGTAAATCTTTCCTCTCTTCTCTTCCCGCCTGTACCTTCCACCGCTGCTCCCACCGTCCAATGAGCATCACGTGCCTCTGACGGCTGCACTCACGCCGCCCCCAGTGACGGGTGCGCCAGGCTCCTCCGTCCCACACAGACCTGGTTATCTCAGTGCTATTTTTGCTTCATAAGGCTAAAGCAAGAGGTGACTTTCTGCCTGAAGGAGAGGCTTGTTGTATTGTTTTTTTGGTTGTTTTGTTTTTTTTTTTTAAATACTCGATAGTTTCTCAGTGCATCCCACCAGAGATACTGAAGAGAAAACACCCAGAGCACAGAGGGCCGAGGAGCCATCAGCAGGCGGAGGGCTGGCTCACCTCTGGCGCGGGACATCACCCAAGCTCATCCCCAAGAGGTCCAGCTGGACGGAGGAGGAACTCCACGGGTTCATCCCCATCACACCTTCCCACCTCCGGCATTCCCAGTGCAAGGATTTCCCGAGGCAGCGGGGGCTTGGGGGTCCCTGCCTGGTCCCTGGGGACCCCCGCCCTGCTGCGGTGCCAGGGGTTAGCCCGGGGCAGTTGTGAGAAGCAAAC